ATTGTCTTTGGCGAGATGGGCCGGGTGCAGCTTTGATAAATAAAAAATAAAAATAAAGTCAAATAAACACTGTGCAGATGCTTAAGAGGAGGCGGCCAGGTAATCCCCACCCTATTTATAAAATCTGCTCTCCTCGGCTGCCTCGGGCACCAAATGGCATCTCATCTCAGCCCTTTGTCTGTCGATTTCAACCTTGGACGGCCGCACACCGGCCTTCCCTGTGTTGAAAATTCCATTTACCTTGTTCCAAGTAAACACGGAGGAAAAGATAAATAAAGGTTTCAATCCTGCGCTGAGGGGAAAGAGAAAAAAAAATCCAATTAGGAGAATTGGCTTGGCATCCAGCAGGTTGTGGGTGACGGAGATGAGCCAGCCAGGGAGAATTGAGCCCTTCAAATGAAGCTCCTTGTGTCCTGCCTCGGTTTTCCCCATCTGAAAAATGGGCACAACAACCCGACAGAGAGAGAAGCAAAAAAGCTTTGCAAAAAAGCTTTGGGCCGACAAGGGTTTGAAATGGGGGGTGGGGGGGAGAAAGCCCCTGAGACGGTCCCCACCTACAGGACCCTGATTGTATATAGGTAGTCCTTGACTTAAGACCGTAGTAGAATCTGAAATGTCTGTTGGTGGGAGAGACAAGTGAGTTTTGCTCCATTTCATAGCCTTTCCTGCCACCATCGTTAAGTGAATCACAGCCGTTGCTAAGTTAATCACAAGGTCGTTAAGTGAATTGGGCTTCTCCCTTGATTTTGTGGGGGTCAAAAGGTCACAAAAGGGGAATCCCAATGCCACCGTCATAAGTAGGAGCCAGTTGCCCAAGGGTCTGAATTTGGAGCACGGGACCACGAGGATGCTGCGACTGTCGTTAAGTGTGAAAAACGGTCCTAAGTCACTTTTTCCCAGTGCCTCTGTAACTTCAAATGGCCACTAAACAAACTGCTGGAAGTCAAGGACTACTGTAGAGATAGTCCTCGACTTACGACCAAACTTGGGACCACAACTTACATGGCTAAATCAAGGCTTGTTGGTCAATGAATTGCACCTGATTTTATGACCATTTTGGGGGCACGGTTGCTAAGCAAATCCCTGCAGTTAAGTGAACCGTGTGGGCATTAAGTGAATCTGGCTCACTCGTGTCACCCCAGATTGTGCAAATGCCGTAAATACATTCTGGTTGCCAATAGCCCAAATTTTGATCATACGATTGTAATAGTTGTAAGTGCGAGGACTGGTTGTAAGTCACTTTTTGTCAGTAAACGAAGGGTTGTAATTCGAGGATTACCTATATTAGGCCTAATTTCCATAATTCTCCTTTCTTTTAGACCAAGCGCCTCAAACATGGCAGCTTTTAAGACTTGTGGACTTCAAACTCCCAGAATTCCCCAACAGGCTCTTTTTTATTTTATTTGCCGCCCACGTGAATATCAAGATATATTATGTTTATTGCATACCCACCCTCTATTAAGAAAATTATCCAAAATTGCGATAAAGGTAGTCTAAATCACACTTGTTCTTGTCCTCTATCCATGCTGAATTCTGGGAAACCTTTTTGCCTGCTGGGGAATTCTGGGAGTTGAAGTCTTCAAAGTGGCCAAGGTTGGAGACCCTGCTATAAAGTTAATGAAAACCATTTGGGGAAAAAACAGTGCCAAAGGATGCCGTTTTCCAGTGATTCCACTAGATTCTATACATCAGGGGTCTCCAAACTTGATTGCTTTAAGACCTGTGGACTTCAATTCCCAGAATTCCCCAGCCCATTCCTCCCCCCCCCCACTTCTCTGACTTCCAAGATATGTTACGTCTACTGCATTCCCACCATCTATTAAATGTTTTCAAAAAGTGCAATAAAGGCAGTCCAACTACAGTTATTCTTGTCCTATCTGTGCTGAATTCTGGGAAATTGGCCTTGCCTGCTGGGGATTTCTGGAAGTTGAAGTCCCCGTTATGCAAACCCATTCGAAGCCGAGCGGAGAATATGTTGGGTCATCTCGGTCCGATCCCCATCCTCAGTGGAGGAAATTCAGTTCGAAACGCCAACATTTGACTGACATATGCAAACTTCGCAAGCCATCATCAGCCAATGTGGGTTCTTCGAATATCTGGGTTAAGGCTCTCGCCCAGCCTGGCTGGGAATGCTGGGAGTTGTAGTACACACACACACACACACACACACACACACACACACAGCAGGAAGAGAGGCCCAAGGCCTGGCTGCCTTTTGACGTTGCCACGGTAACGGGATGCAGGCCTGCCATCGTTTGCAAGCCGGCCTAAACCGGCCTTGCAAGGTGAAGCTCCTTTTAACAGGTTAATCAGAGTTGGAAGGGACCTTGCAGGTCATCTAGTCCAACCCCTCCCCGCCCAAGCGGGAGACCCTACACCGTTCCTGACAAATGGCAGTCCAATCTCTTCTTCACAGTCTCAAGTGGAAAAAGTTCTTGTTTTTCCCAAAAGTGGAAAGCTTAACCCAGATGACAAATCTGGCAAACGATGATGGAAGCTAAAAAAAATAAGGGGGGGGGGTTGTCAAGAGAAAGAGATGCCCCCCCCCTCCAAACAGACATTGGCTATCATGGCCTCAATTTGGGGTCTTGGCCTGTATCCTGGCACTGTTGCTGTGGAGAAAGAGCGGCTTGGCCTAGATACAAGCCCTGGTTACTATGGAGATCGCCACAGGAAACCCGCCATTTCCATAGAGACAGCATGGGCTAGAGCAGACCTTGCCAAAGGGATGCCCTTGCGAGACGTAGATCTGGGACTCCTGCCTGGAGGACCTGGGGGGGGGCAGGGGGTGGATCTGGGAGATGGCAGAGCCCCTTGCCTGGAGGACCCACCCCCCAAAAAGTGACCAACTGAATGACGTTGCCCTTTACCTAGACAAGCTGGCCAGACCTAGAGGGCATCCTGGCACCCGCTGTTCGCCATGCTGCTTTCTCCCAATGGGGCTGGGCTGGACCCTCTGCAGAAGAAAAGAAAATATCGTTTTATTGCAAACCGCCCAGAATCACAGGAGGCAGCGAATAAATCTAAGAGACAGTGAGACAACACACACACACACACACACGCACACAAAGAGAGAGATCGAAAAACAGCTAGAAAGAAATAGATGGATAGATAATAGGCAGAGACGGAGAGAGACAGAGAGAGATAAAGAGGTAGACAGACAGACAGACAGACAGATGATAGATAGATAGATAGATAGATAGATAGATAGATAGATAGATAGATAGATAGACAGATGATAGATAGATAGATAGATAGATAGATAGATAGATAGATGATAGATAGACAGATGATAGATAGATAGATAGATAGATAGATAGATAGATAGATAGATAGATAGATAGATAGATAGATAGACAGGTGATAGATGATAGATAGATAGATAGATAGATAAATAGATAGATAGATAGATAGATAGATAGATAGATAAAGACAGATAGCTAGTGAAAGAGAGGGAGAGGTTAGAGGGAGAGAGATGATAGATAGATAGATAGATAGATAGATAGATAGATAGATA